AAAATTAACTTCTTGCTTCACTTGTTTCTCCTTCCTGCTTTCAACTCATAACAGAACTGTACTTTTTAGTGATAAACTATTAATCCAAGTATGAAGAAATCCATTTATCATCTTTTTTAACCACCTGAGGGCAGCAAACTCCTACTCTTTAAAAACCACTTAATACCATGAAAATACGTTCAGGTTGAGAGAGATGATACAGCATTCAAGAGCTACCATCGTTTAAAGGTAGCAGAAATACAACTGATTGAGCTGCTGTTTAACAATCTCTGTAATATACTGCACCCTTGCATTGATTAATTCAATCCAGGCACAATCCTGGGGGATAATTTGAAAGGAATCATAGAAAAAGTTCAAAGAAGAAAGTTCAATTCTTACCTGATAGTGCAAGTCATATTTACTGAATACATTCTAAAAGCTAATAACACACAAATATTTGATTAATAACCTGAAAACTATTAACAGGGAGTAAAAGATATGCAGGTATTTTCAAATAAGAAAATAAATTAACACTCTAAAGTTTTAAAATCTCAATGTTTTCAAGATAACTGAACTCATGGGCCTGATATCTATCAGCATTTATCAAAACTAAGGTGAAAATGCATCAGTCTGGGATCTTAAGGTACACTTCTTGCTTCTTACACATCTCTGTAAGTAACAAAGACTATAATAAATTGAGCTCTACATCAGATTTAGGCAGCCTCATTAGCCAACCTCTAATTCAAATAGGTTGAACCAAGATCACAATACATAGACCCCTAATTAATGCTGCTCCCACTGACCCACACCAAGAAACAGCACGCTGTCTCACCAGGCAACCACTATCAATCCAGCAATATGCTGCCAATATTCCGAACAGCTTCCCACAGTTTTTCTGCTTTACAGTATATCTCATGTGAACATGTGATAAAAGAGGATGGATCAAGAACCAGAAGATGAATTCATGTTTTTTCTCCTTGCTTCCTCCACTTCCTCTATTAAAAAAAAACAAGATTTTTTTTTTTTTTTTGGCCAGAAAATAACATGCACTATAGATTCCCTTTGCCAGAAGCAAGTGTAGCATTATCCACTGCAGGAATGTGTTCTAGGGGACGAAAGAAAATGATCACATTTCTTTCTTCAAAATGAAGGCGGGTTATTTGTTTAAATACAGATCAAACACCAACTGGTAAGACTATGCTGTGATTTGGTAAATTCTAACAATCCTGAAAGGTCCTGAGCACCCTCAGCTTTTGCAGAATTTTGCATGGACAAGTCCATTCATGGCATTTCTGTATGAACACAAGAAGACAGGCAAGACAGTACAGTTATAAGTAGTATTGCATTTGAAACTACGAATTCGTAGGGGTTATGCAGCCCAAAAGGCTACCCAGTAGTATCCCACCTCTCCTACAAGTAATCAGATAGCTTCAGCTACTCTCTCCGTTCCCAAGTCATGAATGTACCTTTTCTGCACTCCTGCCACCTTTGTCAGCTTCTTCATCTTAACAATTTCTTCTGACCATCTACCAACAGTCTGACAATTCTTTTCCTCTGTCCCTCCCTCCTGCAGTATGGAAACTCTGATGCTTCTTCTAACACTTAGAAAACCAAGATAAAGCAGACATTCATTTACTCCTTCCACACACAAAACAAACCAACCAGACAAGTAAAGTTGCTCCTTCCTTTCAATTCCTTCCCTTTTTCTTGTTTCCCCATGCATTCAAAAAAAGGGAGCTCTTACACACATGATCATAAAAAACACCTAAACTTCTCTGAAAGTTTTTCTACAGCAGGTTCAATCCCCCGACATATCTTCAAACCTTTCACGATTTCGCTATCCTGTCTTCTTGCATCATCCATTCATTGCTAGCAGGTTAGAAGAGACAAAAATGCTAGTCAGTGCATTAACCCATCAACATGCTTCCCTCGCTTTGGCTGTAGCACCTTTCAGAAAAAATCGATTTGGATAACCTTTTATTCATTTATTTATATACAAAGAAACTTCCCCACATCGCAATCCAAGAAAGAAATCCATTCTTAACAATATATTCAGAGCCTTGAGGCAGAGCAATACCCACACCAATTGCTGATAATTCCCCTCCTTTCTATTTTGTCTTGTTGCATACTTCAATTGTAACTCCACTACAACAAGGATTCTTGCAAATCAATTCTACCTGAGTCCTCTAATTGCAATAGCAATCGAATTAGTGAGCTGAGGATGTCCTGGGTTTTTATTGAGGCTGAGACTGGAAAAGCATACAAGAAAATCTGTAAGAGAGGCTACGAGACAGTGACAAGTTTTGTCTTCTAAGCATGCATACAAGGGGCCAGAGTTAAACTCTTCGTACTCACTACTTTACGAATAACTTTCTGCTGGAAATGCATCTCTACACAATGGAGCTGCATAGCACATAGCTCACTACATACCCAACAAAACCCCAAAGAACTGTCATTCTTTTAAAAAGGTTTCAGATTCCTAAACTACTAGGATGCTCTAGTTCATAACTGTAATAAAAGAATTGTGCATCACTGGCAATTAAAATACCATTACACTTGAAATTACGTTTCCTGATGTATATCTGCATGCAGTTTTTTCTTTTATATATTCACATGCTTGCTGGTTCAGAAAATTCAGAAATCCAGTTATTAACATAAATTACAGAGTTATGCCATGTGTAGAGAGATGGTAGGCAAAGTTTTCAGGACCGAGGGCAAAGTTTACATGCAGCCAGCTTTCCCTTCGCTTAGCAAGAATGGAACGCTGCCCTCACCTTTTTATCGAATTCCATCACTCACATGCATTAAAACACAGCGTGGCACTACTCTGCTGGGAAAGCCATCAAATTTTGCAGTTAGTTCTGTAAACAGGATCGATGTTACTGTCTACGTGGAATGCCAGTCCCTGTCCATCCCCGTCCAGTATTGAAAGTTCATACAAATTAAAATAAATCATACATTGTTTGCTTATGGTTTACAAAACGTATCTGAATTATCTTTCAGCAAGTTATTAAAAGGTATTACCACTGATCATGGGTGAAAAAAAAAACCCAACCACAAAACATGCGACACAAAATAAAAAAACATGTCTCAGGAGACTATTAATTATTCATGGAAATCAAAGACAATTACAACTGATTGATGAACTCATCAAATATTAACATGGAAGTTGAAAGGTAATAAAAGGGCAAGAGACTTGTGCATATTCAATACACACTGAACACTCACGTAGCAATATCGTATAGCCCTGTCTTCCATCACTAAGTAATGCTAGAGCAAAGGACAGATGTGGTGTTCGTCTAGAATTAATAAAGTGAGCAGTGTCTAGCTCTCTTGTCATTGCTTAATACTGGAAACTGATCTGTCATGAATTTAAGATTTGTAAGGCAATGTAATGCTGTTGGGGCAAAAAATACCCATGTGTACAAAGCACTTGAAATCCAAAGTCAATGTATCTTTTAAGATGTTAGTATAACCTGAATTTAATTTGATGTACTCTACAATTACAAAATGTATCCTTCAAGGCAACTTCCAGGGAAGGGGAAATATAGCTCATCCTCCTTATTATGCTTTTTATGTCATCACTGCAATGATCAAAATCAAGAACACAAGTTCATAAAAATGCTAAATATGGAGAGTTAATTTAAATACTACAGAACAACTGAAAACAGTAAGTGTGAATTCTGGTGGCTAATTAGCTACAACTTCTTTAAAAGAGTACATCTATGGAAATACACTGATGATGAAGGCTTTCATTGTCTGTCTCAAACAACGTGACTAATAACATATTACATTTAAACAAAGTTAAGTTACCCAAAACACAACTATGGGTTTTCAACAATAATTTCACTTCAGACTGCTAACTTGTTTTCTGTAAAAAAATGGCTGTAAAAAACCAACACAATTAACCACAAAAAATACAGGAGATAAGTCTGAAGAATTCACTGTAAAAGAGAGATCGGCAGTCTAAAGATATCTTCTTAGAGGACTACTTCAGAATTGTAGTAGATTATCAATAAATTGGAATAGTATCTTTAATGCTTTTGCATTGGATATTTCACATGTATAACCATTTAACAGAATGAACTACTGGGAAAAATTCCAAATATGCCATATCCTGAATGATTATAGAAAAGTTCATATTACACTTGCTTTGGCAGAAATATTTATCGAAAGAGTTACAATAATTTTATATATTTTTCAGGACACTAACTCTGATGCAACGCAATGCTAAAATTAACAGAAGGTGAGGAGGATGTCCTTTTTCTGAACAAAAGGGAGCTCAGAAAAGCAGCCTAAGTCCTCACTCCTTCCAGTTTAAGGCAAGATTTGTGAGAGCACATTTAAGAAGCAGAATACTTCCAAGTTACAGCCATGGTTTATCACAGCCCAGGAAGAGCCCACAGAAAGACAGATTCTAAGTAACAGATAAGAGTTTGGAACCAGGCAAAATGTAGATACTGTGCTGTATGTTAGTTTTCATAGCTTTAAAGCCAGTAACACACCTCTCTCCTTTCTTGGAATAGATTTGGTTTTGTCTTTCAACACGGTGACTGTTAAAAATGCATAGATAACAGGTGATAATCACAGAGCACACCATTTCTCTGGATGCACTCAATTCCTATTTGAATATTGTGCATAGGCAGCCCAGCACGCTGCCAAACTCAAGGTATGGTTAGGAATCCTGAGAATTAGGGTGTTTTCTGCTAGGCTCAGGGTCTGTTTTAGGCTTGTTGTAAGAAATGAAGTATTGTGAAAGAATCTATTATTAAGGTCAAAAACTTCTGAAAAGAGGCAGACTATGTATACAAACAAGAGAATAGCATTTGTGAAGTTAAAGAAACATACTCTAAGTCGACCGGGGCACTAAGATTCAAACATAAGCAACTTATCTTGGTTGAATTTGAAGACAAGTGAGGTGGGAGAGGAAAAGAACCTAAGATAATTTACTTTAAGCTGCGTACAGTCCTGGAACTTCATATAAGACAGACTGCGTTAGAGAGTTATTCACAATTGCTTACCCAAGATTCATGGTACAAAACTGTGAGGAGGTGTATGCCATAATCATAGTTCTGTCTTCTTAGCGGACACCTGAAATTCATAAACAAAGCCAGTCTTTTTGAAATCAAGCCACTGAAATATACTTTTAAACAAAATGTTAAGCTTACCATCAAAATTTCTGATTAGTAATGTAGTGAATCTTAGGGAAATGTGTTTGATTCACATGCATTTCTGAATTACACATCATCAAGAATAACATCATGAAGGCATGAGTGTTAAAAACATGGAAGAATGGTCATCTGCAAGTCAGTAGGAAAACATAGAAAATGCAAGAATTGACAGATTTTCAGGAAACGTTAAAAATTTCTTTGCCCTCTGTGCCAAAGGGGAATCCAATCCTAGAATGGTTTGAGTTGGAAGGGACCTTTGAAGGTCATCTAGTTCAAGCCCCCTGCTATGGGCAGGGACACCTTCCACCAGACCAGGTTGCTCAGAGCCCTGCCCAACCTGGCCTTGAACACTCCTAGGGATGGGGTAGCCACTGGTGGCGTTGAACACTCCTAGGGGGGGGGCAGCCACAGCTGCTCTGGGCAACCTGTGCCAGTGTTTCACCACTATCATTGTGAAAAATGTCTTCCTTGTATCTAGCCTGAATCCACTCTCTTCCTGTTTAAAGCCATTGCCCCTTG